TTTCATTCGGACGTTCACCCTCATTTCTTGCTGAGCCATAAATATTTCCCTCAATACTGCCTAAACTTCCCAAAATTTATCCACGGGCATTTTTCATTATATTTCTGGAAAATTATGGTTTAATGGGCTGACGGTTATTGCTGGATCAGAGAGAGATCAGAGGAGGGAAAAATTAGATCCGAATGAAGAGAGACGAATGTGAATATTAAAGTTGCTCTCAAGATATCATCTAGTAGGTCAACGTTTTTGACACTACGCTACTAAACTGCATCACATTATCAGAAACTTTTCGCATATTTACTGTATATGGGGAGTCCTTTACAATGCACGAACCTGGTTAACCTATGTGGAAAGAAGGCAAGTGTCTTTCCCATGAGGTATTCTACTATTATCAAACATAGCTGACTCTTTGGATGAATGTAAAGCCAGTATATGACGATGCGGCAGAAATGCGTGATAACTTTTGGAATTAATATCAAACAGTTTCTGAAGTAGATTCGCCTGAACTTGAGAAGTTGTGTTATTATTTATATTCGGTGCAACAGGGAACTGGCTAATAGATGCAAATGCACTGACCATTCAGTCTAATGAAAACTCTAAACAGGAATGAACGTAAAACATTTTCTCAATATTATCATAAAAAAATTGTTGGTTAGAACATTAATACTTTCGAGTCCCAAAATTTGGCTTCCCGTTTCCCCTTATGTAACTTTACTCTTGCTTGCAGTCGTGTAACTTACCATGAATCTGTCATTTTCACCACTCTAGGGAATAACTCCACTGGAAACGCGCCCTGTTTTGAAGTACTCTTCATGAAAGTGCTAAACCATTGTCAAACCATAGTAATCTGTTGCATTCGCAGTACATATTTCTCGCCTTTGTGTGACATTAGCTCGACAAATATGCTGAAAATTTGTTTGAATCATTCTCTTTGGATTGCTTTGAGTAATTAAATAATTTTAATTTATGATAATTATGTCCCGGTTTAGCCATACTTGATTCACATATGGCGCTTTATCATGCTAATCTAGAACGACCCATTTTCGCGCACTGTAATGGCTCTTTGTAATAATTTAGTCAAATCACAAGTGGCATATAGTTTAATAAAGGCGAAAGATCAGTTGTTTCTAAAGCTAAATGGCAGGAAGAGACGGTTTTACCCGCGCTCGTAAAATGACATGCATGATGTGATGAATGACATCCATTATTGATTTATTCTGGATGTCGAAATTGGAAATTTATGACCTGTTGAGGGGTCGTAAGTTGCTAGGACCGCGGGATTAGTCTGAGGAATATGTGGCGGGGATAAATCACGTTGTTTGACATGGAAAATTATCGCACAGATATTTGATCCTGCGAAAAAAGAATTGTCAAAAGTCGTGTCTAAAACTATTTCATAGTGACTTGTTTTTGAAACAATACGCTCGAAGCAGGTTTAGGTATGCTGCAGAGATCTGTTGCACGAATATTTCGCCAACGCGTCCGAACCCTAAAACGGCATCTGAATAACTTTACAACTTTTAAATCTACCTTACAACCGCTGGATTTTTTCAGAGAAATGAATGAAGGGTCGAAGAGAGTAGGAGAGGGTAAGCATTTAGCCCTGTTAGATTAGAATATATGTAATGTCAGAAATCCATTATAATTACTTCTCCTAGTAATGGCTAGAACATGCATGTATCAATTAAAATGTTTGCAGTCCGAATCTCGCAGGTTATACTGCTGTGAACAGGATCATGAAACAGATCTGGATAAGACTTTATCCAAACAGGTTTATTCACGTTTTTCAAAGGCGTTGGTGACGTGCCTGAGGCCAAGTGGCTCGAGGGGCTGTAATTCTTAACCTTGACCTCCCAAGTTCAGGTCCAGTATGAGGAAGCTAAAATCTTGCGTGACTCTAAACAAATAATAGAGTAGTGGGCGGTACTTTCCCTGATTTTCCATCTGTTTACTCTATTTGTTGATACATTTTCAGAGGCGACAATTTGAACAGAGATGCTAAATACATAGACTCTGCAGTAATTATCTTTTTTCATACGTTTTATCTCATCGCGCAAACTGTAGTAACTCAGGAGTTGATAAGCAAAGAGCGGTGAACTCGTTCTCCTCTTCGAGGGGACTTTTAGAAGTATGAGTATCATATACCAAACATACCTTATTCGCGCCCAGGCCGGTCACTGATCTCCATTGAGGTCTTAAACATTTTACTAAGTTAAGGTAAAAACTGTTTCCCTTGTCAGATTTATATATTTTTATTTTTTCACATGTAAAAAGGTAGCTTATTTAGGCACTAATTTGCAAACTGTTAAGTTGGAGGACACTTTTGCTGCATGTTATCTTTTGAGTTATAACTTGCGAATAATCAATTGTTGCAACATTACGGATTTGAAAGGAATTTTTCATTGTCTTTAGAAAATTTCCATAATTATTCAAATTATACACGCCGTGATGTCATGTGATCTCATATATCCTATAATATCTGCACCTTATATGAAAAAGAATTTAATGCTGTTTATGAATATATATGGTTTTGTGAGGTTTCCATTTAATGTATTTGCTTGGCAAGGATTGTAACGCATAGGGCTTGTATTCTCTCAAAATAACCTCAACCCGTAGTATGCTATGGGTATGTTCCCTACCAATGTCTGTTTCGAAAAATACAATAAGAAAGATAGGTCACCGCTCTTGTTTAACAGACATGATGGGTTAAACTTAGCCCATTTATGCCCACACTGGCACTAATCACGCGCGTTATTCCATTGGTCCATGGTACATTTTGCGGTAGCTGGAAGTAGCAATTTGATATATGATTTGTACAAGAGAATAACAACGGCTGATATTCTCTTGATTTGTATCACTGGACTTGGTTGGGGGTGAGACAAGTCGCTTTTTAAAAATCCCGCATTTTAAAATAGTTTTTATGCTCGTTTATTGATGAGATCCGATACAAAGTGTAGAATTACTGCAAAGTGTAGAAACATTAAGTCCTTAATTCGTTGTCATACAAGCATTGTTTCAGTAGCAGTATACCCTCTGATTCTTTCATCACAATTATCTAAACAAACAGTAGTGCAGTTAGTTCAATATTTAAGGAACTTCCTCAATGTATATCTTTGCCACGAATGCAGATGGCAACTGAGAAACCTCCTCTCAATTACCCATGCTTTCCCAAATTTACATTATTTAAAAAGCTGCTGGAGAATTTATCGAATCGTAACGAAAGTAATATTTAATGATACTGACAGGCTCAATAATTTCATCAATCAACCAATATCAATAATTTTTCCATCAACCAATGTTAACTTTTCAAATGGACACAGGCATGAACAGTCTGATTTGAATCACGAAGAACGACTCGATATTGTCAGTAGCTAAATAAAGAGTGCCATGAGTAAATTGTAACAATTGCCAACGCAAGCGCGGTGAAAACTTAATAACGAGAGTTATTCAGCTTGTTTTCTTTTCACGTTAACAGCTATTGAAAAAGTCAATCTCTGCATTGAAGTATGAATTCATTCTGTCAAATTTGGCAAATTATGAAAAATTCAGGATATTTTTTTATTAAAAAAAAGCAGAAAAAAATAGTGGCAAGGATTTTGATGTCGCAAAGAACTCGAAAGGACCGGAACAGGTAAAGTGTCCAGTGTTTCCCTTTTTTTTTATGTTTTAGGTTTTAAATTGTCATTTTCTTTTTCGTATAAACCCGCTTTTCGAACATGTTTTTTTATTTTATCGGGGATTGGAGTTAATGACAAGAATAACGAATTGGCCGCTAGCACTTAAAGAAAGGATTATTTTGACTCCAACTTCCATATCAAGAATGAAAACGAACCCGGCATATTTGTACTTCAAACCTCTGGATGTCAAGCCTGAATGAGGCACATTTCTAATTAGCTGAAGATATTTGTGGTGAACGACTGATCGAGTAAAACCTCGATTCGGTTTTCGTTTTATGTTAAATAGAAATGATCAGGATGGTTGATTAGTTTAAATGAGTCTTACCTTTGATAAACTCGTCATAGTACAAAAGAATCGAAAAAGACACTATTTTAGGTCTGTTAGGAAAATTGTAATTTAGTGCGAGGCGCACCATTTTACCGGATTGATCAAATACTTTCCCGGTTCCCCGCTGTCACTGAGAAGCCAGTCAAATCAGATTTGTTTCAGTTAGAAAAATAGCGCTGTAAAAGTTTGTTTACGGTTTCATTTTAGAGTAATTTAAGTTACCTGTCGGCGCGAGGGGGTATCATTGATTGGATGGAAGTTTTTTTTTTCATATCTTAAGCAGTTTTATTTAAGTAATAACATTTGCAACAAATCTCGTGTATAAAAACGTTGTCATTTATTCAAGGAAAAATACAAATAGATGAAATATACTCTAGGGGGCTGAAAAATCTCCCCCTCAAATTTTGCACTTGGTATGCTGCAAGTTAATGAAACCTTATACAGCGAAGGCCCCTTTTAAAAGGAAGTTATGTAATCAGTCTGCTTAAATGGAGTATACAAGAGATCCTCCATGGGGCTAAGGCTGAAAATGACATATAGTATGCGAATCGGCTTGGTTTTCAAGATAGGTGCTTCTATCTGCATCAAACCATGGTACTCATGACGTACCCTTTGTTACTGCTTAAATTAACCAAATTTACCACACCCTAGCCTCGGTCCGAAATTGGAAACGCAAATGAATTTATACCTTATTTATTTTACAGGTCACGTAAGAGATGTCTCCATATTTGGAGTTCGTTTTACTCCATACCCTCCTGTTTTCAAAGATCACCGCTGGCTCTAACGTCTGCCGCTCCAGTTTCCGAGATACCAATCACGTTCTCACTGGTCACGTGATACGGACTCTAAACCACAAGACTTTTGAGAGCTACACATTTTCTTGCGAAATTGAGCCAAAGTGTTTCAGTATCAACTTCATGCCATCGCGAGGAACCTGTCAACTCAACAGAGCAACCAAGGATTCTTTCCCAAAAGATGTTATGAAACAGAAGGGAGCAGTTTATTTGGACATGGTGATCCGCCAGTATTACCATGATCGTGATACTTGTGAAAGTATGCCCTGTGAAAATGGAAGCACATGTGTCATGGGTCCGACCTTGAATTGCAATTGTCTTGATGGTTACACTGGGCGTCGCTGTCAAAGTAAGAAATTGGAAAGCTAGCACCAATA